TCCTGCTCCATTCTGCCTCCATGTTTGAAACAAACACTGCTGTTTTCATCACTCTTAAATGACTGCCCATCTGTGTGAGTGTGTGGGTGGAAGAGAGAGAGTGTGCGTAGTTTTCCCTCAGCAGGAACTCCTTATCTCATAATAACTAACTGGCAAGGGGGAAGTGTGTGTCTTTTAACAGTGTGTGTGTGTATGTGTGTGTGTGTGTGTGTGTGTGTGTGTGTGTGTGTGTGTGTGTGTGTGTGTGTGTGTGTGTGTGTGTGTGTGTGTGTGGAGCACTTGGGAATGGGAGGTAAGTGAGCATAAGAGCAAGTCATTACAATGAAGGGCATTGGCAAGGTAAATACATAAAGCATGCAGGCACAGCACTTACGCAACTCTGACTAAAATGTGAGCTCCTTTCTCAGCCCTCACTACGTGTCCTTGACCTTTATGAAAAACGTCCCAGTGAAAAAATATTTAAAGAACAATTCATAAATCATTCATATCGTCCCCCGGTGACACGGAGCAGACCTTTCAAATGTATCCACATTCATAAATATCACAATCAGAATACTTCATTTATCCCGGGGGAAGCTGGGTTTCAAGGCAGTTGCTCCATATTATAGGGAAATAAATAAAAGATGAATTAATACAACTATTTATAAACACAAGGAGTTAAAGTATTAATGTGCAATAAAAAGATTGTACTACAGTATATAAGGTATGTTCCAATACATATAGTGGTATATTAGTGTATTAATAGGACATTAAGACTGAACTGCACAGTTTAAAGGGGTTTGAACTGGATTTTTAAGGCCGATTAATATTTGAGGGTTTGAAAGAAACCCCATAATGACACAAGGAAAGAAGATCATTTGATCCCAATACTTCCTGACTTTCCTACCCTGTGGCTCTCAGTTCCAAAATGTGCAAAAACGGTTAAAGACACTGTCATCATAGTTCAATTATGATGCATACAGGTGGAGCTGATACATTGTTTTCCCTTTTACACGTGCAGTAACTCGGTTCAGAGGGGATTAGCTTGGCACTATAAGAGTTAGACCCGGAACAATATCCAGCCTCTACACAAGTCTCCACCATTGATTGTTGATATTGACAGTGGCTGTTATACTCATTGTATCCTACAATAGGAACATTTTGGGGAAACAAACAGTGTTCTAACTATTTCTATATCCTTAGTGCCTATCTTTAGGGTTGAAACTAATGCTGTGTCTTGATTCAGATATGCTCCTTAGAACATTGTCATGTTGTGTATTGTTAACACTTAAGATGAATTTCGACAACAAGTGATGATCGCCACTGCTAACTTGCTACCTAGCTATGCTTTCGTTGTAGGTAGCAAATCATTACAGACTGCTTAACTAACCCAATACAATGACACTGGCATAGTGGTATGTGTATTACATTTTGAAAAAACTCACGTGGGTAACCTTTATTTATATATTGCTGTGTTTACACGCTACTTCTGTTACCTAGCCTAAAGTTGATTGTTGATTGTGAGAAATGTCCTGCATTCCACATTCCATTTTTTTTTAATGTTATGAGTGCAAAATGTGGGTACTCTAAGTGCATTTGGCTATACTTTGCATTAGGAAATGATCATTTATGCACTCAAAACACCACATGTAAGTACAGGAGTGTGTGAATTGAGACACAGCACAAGAAAACCAAGTGGACTGCTTTGAATTAAAGGGGTTTCCTCAGGGGAGCATGATCTCAGGAGATGCCATATTACCTCATGGAATATCTTTCTGTGGGATGTTTGTTGATAAAGATTGTGTGCATAGAACAATATGGATACAGTCACCAGTGCCAAAGGCATAGTGAGCGGTTAGATTAAGAGCTGCAGGCAACCAGCTCTACTTTCACATCATCATCATCATCATCAGTAAACAACTTTACCATTCCATGCCATGCTATGAAAGAGGATTCATGCTGAGCACGTTACACAATCTGATTGCAGTATGCTCTACGGCAGGGGTCTCCAACCTTTCTTCATCTGAGAGCTACTTTCAAAAAATGAAAGTGGCCAAGAGCTACTTGCATCACATCACTTACATTTATTCACATAGCCCTCATCAGTTGAAAAAAAAGACACTGAATGTCTTGAATGCATCACACACAGGACTTGAGTCTGAAAACAGCAGGAGTATTTACAATAGCATTATAAAAACAAAAATAGTGCATGTGGGTGCACACTTACATTATCTGTCTTACTGTTACATAAATCCCATGAATGTATGAGATTAAGTTAGCTTCATCATATCTCAATCAGTGATTAAGTGAATAATAAAGTTTCTATCGGGTCACTATCAGCCTGTCACTCATTATTTTCAGGGAGGGGGCGGGGTTTGGAGGAACGGAGAGGAGACGGTGATCGCGGAAGCTTTCCTCCTGCCTTCACAAACTTTACACAAGTATTTATCAACTGAAAATAGCAAGAGGACATTCATACTCTGCAATCCAAGACTTGATTAAATCCACCAAAAACCTGACATGACGATAACGAGTGTTTTTCAAAAAACACAAATCCCTCCCTGTGTGTCTCTGACGCGCAGCGACAGGGCCTGATTCAGAGCGGGTCATTCTGCTGTTAGTTCTGGACTGGTGTTGGTGGAGAAAGCAGACTGCTCCGTGTGTGTTGTCGCTGTGCTGCTGTCACGTCTGTTCCTTGATCTCTGCGTCACCGACCATTTGATATTCGTGTGACAGAAAAAATTCTAAAATAAAAAAACGTTATTGTCCAGCCGCGGCCGAAAAATCAATAAGCAACCTTACTACGCTATAATCAATAATCGAGCGGCGAGCTACTGAAAAGCTGCCCGCGAGCTACCGGTAGCTCGCGATCGACGTGTTGGAGAGCCCTGCTCTACGGAAATAAGGCTCTATATACCAGCCTCTCATCCCACATTCATATATAGCTTTTCCAACGTTATCTAAAACACCTCATATAAGTGTTACTGTCCCATGGTGCAGCTGTGGGATCTGTTTGTTTGTTTCATTCCAGTTTGTGCATATGCATTTATTATGAAGCAGACAGAGGAACACATTAGGAGAAAGAGGAGCAGCTGGAATCAACCATTACCAATCACACACACACACACACACACACACACACACACACACACACACACACACACACACACACACACACACACACACACACACACACACACACACACACCTGGTGCAGTAAAGTGCTTACTCATCCAACCACAAGATCAGAGCTGAATTATTAACAATCTTATTATTTCACTGTTTCTTCTGAAAGCACACACACACATGCACACACACGCACACACACACACACGTGCACACACAAGCACACACACACACACACACATGCACACACACACGCAAGCGCACGCACGCACACACACGCACACGCACACACACACATTTTCCAGTCGCTCAGCTTTTAGTATTCTCTTCTGTCTTCCCCTTCTTATCAAGGTGAATTGTTCTGCAGGGTGCTGTGATGTGGAGTTTTAAATTCATTAAGGTAAGCGTTGCTATGGCGTTCTGGCATAAGGACATTTCATCTTGTTGTTTTCCATGGTTTGTTAGGAATGATAATGAAGTTATAGTAATCTCACCTTATGTGTTCAAGTTCAGTAATGCCAACTGCATGGATTAATACAAATGTGTGTGTGTGTGTGTGTGTGTGTGTGTGTGTGTGTGTGTGTGTGTGTGTGTGTGTTTGTGTGTGTATATAGATTGTATATATCGAGTCCAAGCTATCAGCTCTACCAAATTGAGCTCGTATGTGTCTAGCTGACAATCATTTAACGTTTTTTTTTGGTAATAAACATTGAAATAGCATCGTCTCTGATTGTTGGAATGCAATTGCATTAATAGAACATTTGTTTATTCTTTTAAATGAGGAACATTAAACATATGCAATAGCTGTGTGCATTACCTGATTCAGCCACATTATCATAAGGACATTATGTGTTTGAGAGCAAATAGGATTTTAAGAATAGCAGCAATTGAAAGTCTTGTGACCCTATACCAGTGCATTGTGGGACATAACAGGTAAAGCATTAAGACTTAAAGATCTGCAGATGAAGCTGATCATAAAAAAAAAAAATTCAGCCTGTGAGACAACTGAAACTCAGTCTTGTTTCTTCATCATTATCTAACCTCTCAACTCCTTCAACGCTCTGATAACACTTCCCCCGTAACACCAGGCGCCAAATACTATATACATTTCCTAAAAGTTCTGTCATGTCTGTATAAAGATGTCAGAAAGCCATTACTTACTATAATATGTGTTCCTAAAAGGTCTGTTCTGTACTTCCTGTCAGCAGGTTAACCATCTTTCTACTTCTCTGTATCATGAAGCCTTCTCTCTGCATTACTCGTACTGAACCTCACTAAGAGGACACAGTGTAACAAGTACAGGACACACCTTTTTATCTTATTACAATCTCAGCATATTCTTTTTTTGAAATGTCTCTATAGTGCCTTCAAATCAATGCAGCATTGCATCACAACACTGGAAGAGTAGAACACACCTAATTGGATTTGAGTGTTTTTATAATCTTAAATGAATATCATTTGAAATTTTTGCTATATTTCTTTAACTGGAAATTGTCCTCACTGAGACCCAGAATAATAATTATAAAAGTTGATTTAGGGTTTACTGCACTAACCACACCTGTACATAGACTTTGATTCACTACACCAATGCAGATTGTCAATAACCGGTAAATGTTTGGAAACTGACACAAGAGCAACCTTGGGATGTTGGTATGACAAGAAATAGAAGCATGAACCAGAAAACAGTGACAATAACAGGATGTGTGTGTGTGTGTGTGTGTGTGTGTGTGTGTGTGTGTGTGTGTGTGTGTGTGTGTGTGTGTGTGTGTGTGATACAAAAACATCCACAGCTCAGCCAGGAACAATTGCACTGGATGTTCTATCCTCGTCTGTTGCTTTTCTATTTTCAGCTAAATATTGCCTCTCCTTCATTCCTTTCCTTCTCCCTTCCTTACCTTGCCCAGTGGCTTGGTGCTGCTCTCCCAGTTCCTCTTCTCCATGGAGGGGGGCACCTGGTACACATCCTGCCCAGCTCCTGTCCCCCCAGTGTGGCCTGGCCCGGGGCCCAAAGAGGGGGGCACCTGGTAGATGTCCTGCCCAGGGCTGTGGTACTGTCTCTGGGCAAGAGAGGTTTTGCTGGGGGGTCCTGGAGGGAGTCCGCTCGGGCCAGAGGGGATCTGGTACACACTTTGAGGACTCAGTTTGGGGCCGTGGGAGGGGGGCATCATGTACACAGAGTCAAGGTTGGGCTGTGCGGGGCTGGAGTATGCCGGATGCATAGATGTGTACTGAGTGGAGGGGAGGGGCTTAATGGGATACCCAGAGGAGCACGTAGCAGACGACGTAGCAGGTGATGGTTTGGCGTAGGCGCTCAGAGGGGGGAGGGGTCTCTGGATGGAAGAGGGACAGGAGGCCGGCTCCGGCGTGGAAGGCATGGCCTGTTGCTGCTTGCTGTCGTACATGCCGACCAGAAGCTTGAGACGGTTGCCGGGGACGATGCCTTGGCGACCGTGGAGGGAGCAGAGCCACCAGCCGTCCAGACCCTGCGTGTCCCGCTCCAGCACCGTCATGATGTCCCCCTTACGGAAGGACAGCTCGTCCGGGGACTCCGCCACATTGTCGTACAGCGCCTTGGCCAACACGTTCTGTGGGAGAAGGAAATATTTAGAAATATAATCAATACTCAGGAGCGTTCATGTTTACCTTGTGCTGTTTTTGTTTTTCAACAAATCAACAATTTAAACGAGGCGGTATTATGCCTTTTGAGGTTCCCTTTCCTGTAGTGTGTTCTCTAGGTTTTTGTGCATGTAAATGGTCTGCAAAGGCTAAAATCCCTGTGTTCCTCCAGAGGGAGTTTCTCTCCCACACACTCCCCCCATTGCCTGAAATACCTCCATTAGACTCCTTTGTTTACTTCTGTAACATAATGACATCACTATGTAACACTCGCGCTTCAATTGGCTAGAGCTCCAACATATTGTATGTGATAGGCTAAGGGGCGGGACATCTCTGAGCGGTTGACCAATCACAACAGAGCCGGCCAGCTAACCAATCAGAGCAGACTGGGCTCTGGTTTCAGACAGAGGGTGAAAAGAGGTGCTGCAGCGCAGTATGAGAAACATTGAAGCATGGAGACATGTCACAGTAGAGACACTCATAGACATATCAACCTGAGAATGAGCTCCTTGTTAAGGTAGAACAAAGTCAGGTTTAAGGCCCGACATAATAATAGAATACCAGAAAATGTAAATAAAAGTAAAAATGTCATGTATAACCCTTTGTAATCATTTTAAGATGAACCAAAAAGCAATGAAAATCTGTTTTTTATTCTAGAAAAATACAGTTGTGTAATCTGCTAGTTAAGGTTAATAAAGCAGTGTAACAGGAAAACAAGTCGTCCACAAGGCCAGTATGTTAGATGTTGTTACTGTGTGGAACAAGAAGAACTGCTGACAAGACAAAACAGCTTAGTGTGCTGTACAGCTGTCTGTTCACATTTCCAGTGTGTACTCAGATTGTTGGAGTGACGTGAAAGTCTTTATCTCTTGTGTTTAGCATTTGTTAGTACATGTGCTGGTCGATCCTGTCCACGCAGTCAGAACTTGAAACCAAAACATATATTTTCATGTGTGAACATAACAGACAGTTAGAGCAAGATTTTTTGGATAAATGTAAAATGTCTCCATTTTCCAATGTAAAATACCCTGCTACTTCCTCCTCCCTTAACATATTTTGAATGCCTCATCATTATCAACTATTTGTATGGGTCCATGATATTGATCGACAGCACACATTCAGTATTCATACTTTTTAGAGATACTTCTAATGAGTCCGGAGTTTGGAATGGGAAGCCAGCAGCTTTGATAAATGTCCCTGTGGTGAGCCATGGGAGTGTGTGTCCTCACGGGAGATAAACTGAACAATCCCAGCCACAGCTGTGCATATAATGAGACTGGCAGCTCCAGCCATACTCCAATTCATTTTCATAAATGACATGCTGTGTTAGCATGCGGCCAAAGAGAGGGCAAAGTACAAGGACACTGAACCACTATAACTGTTTGATCAAGATAATAAACCAACATAAAAGCATAAAAAGTCAATATGACTAATATGAGTGCATTTTTTATTCAAAAGCCATCTGATCTGTAGCGTCCCAACATTTAGTGAAGAAAGCGGATCATATTGCATTGCAAAAATAATCATCATTCATTCACAGTAACAACAAACACATACAGTACACAAATTAAAAGGTCAAAGAGATTCACATTCCGCATGCTAATCTCAATGCTAATATTTCAGGCGCTAAGTAGATAATGATATCAGTAGCTGTATTGTGGCTTTCTTGGGCTATGATTTTAAAGATAAGCCTAAACCTGATCTCCCTTTTTCTTACAGTTCCTTTCTGCGTCTTTCATTTGAATTCAACATGCATCGTCAGGTGCTTTCTGCAAGGATACAGCTTTTCATTTTAAAAACAAGACTCATGCTTATCTTCCTGTTAGGATTCAATTAATGAATTGGGCTTTTGTTTTGAAAAACATGCATTATCCTTAGCTTTCTGTGAGAATATAGTAACTCTTTGGGCTTTTATTTTGAAAAACAAGCCTAAACTTTATATTTCTGATAAGATACTATACTATTATATTTAAAGGGCTTTTAATTTGAAAAAAATAGGCCTTGTCAGAGCTTCCTGTAAGAAAACAGTAACTCTTTGGGCTTTTATTTAGAAATCATGCCTCATCCTAATCTTACTGTTAAGATACAGGTTGGGCTTTTATTTTTGAAATAAAACCTGCTGAGCTTACAGTAAATCTGAGATACAGTAACTGCTTTTAATTTGAAAAACATGCCTCGCCAGTCTCACAGAATTATGGAGCATAAACTACAGTAAAACACACACACACACACACACACACACACACACACACACACACACACACACATACCATGTATACATCATTTCAGGGGACATTACATTGACTTACATGCATTTCCTGGAGACTTATCCTAACCTTAACCATAACCAACACATGCCTAACCCTAACCCTAACCCTAAACCTAACCAAGTCTTCACCCTAAAATGAATGATTCCCCTTATGGGGACCTCCATTTTGTCCCTATAAGGGAGGCGAGTCAAACAGATTTAGGTCCCCACAAGTATAGTAATGCTAGGCCACACACACACACACACACACACACACACACACACACACACACACACACACACACACACACACACACACACACACACACACACACACACACAGAACTGGCCATCTAAATGAGGCCATGTAATTGGCTTCAAGATTTATAGTGAGCCTCTCTTCGGCTGCACTGAGGGCCTGTTCATGACCTCACAGGGGGCTGGGAGCGAGACAGAAAGAGACACTCCACTCTAATTTACTCACCTCATCAACTTCATTCACCAGTTGTGTTAACAGGCGAGGAGAATTCCCTCTTTAAAGGAAACAACTAAATGCCAGACACTCTAAAATGATGTGGTACTCAGTTCATTTGTCATCAAAACTCTTTCCTAGAGACTCATCTTTTCTCTGTCTTTCTTGTCATATACTTTACTGACCTTTAGTCTAAATGCATTGCCTCTTGTTCCATCACATGTATATCTGAGCTTCACTGTGGACTATGATGTTATGACAAAGTTTAACTTAACGATAGAAGGCTGTTTCATATGCTAAAGTTTTCTCTGAGCACACCTTAAATCTCAGTGTAACATACCAGCAGGACTTTGTGACATCACAACTAGTTTGGAGCCAATTGTGGTCCAGAATGTAACTTCAATGACGACACTTCAAACCTCCACAGCAGATACACTGAGACTTCCAGCTAATTGACTTTTGAGATTAACAATATTTGCATTCTCATGTCATTTGGAAATTCTCTGTGCATAACTGAAATACAGATACATCTCTTATCTCTTATTAATGTCTGTGTTATCACTGTGAGGTAGCACACTCCATGCAACAATGAAGTGTCCTCCTGTCTGTTGTAAGGTTGATCTGAGATGTGTTTGGGCTGCATTAGTGCATGTTGGATGTGAGATGAACTGTTGTGCTGAGCTGCATGGAGAGAGAACTGTTTGAAGAGTTCTCTCTAATAAGATACAAAAGAAGCAGGAGTGTTGCAGTTGAATAACCTTGAACTCCCAATCACTGGCTGTGCATAGAGGATGTTATGCTTGTCGGAAAACAGAACATCCTTTGCTTTGTTTGAGAGAACATATACTGTTGTACAACAAAGTGCTTTATGATATTGTAGCAGGTGTTTGTTCTCAAACCAAATAAAACCCAAATTACATTTCTGTCGAGGCACCAGGTGGCAAAATCCTACGAAGGGATAAAGCCCATGATCCAGGCATTTGTGTGGCTTCTGCCTCCTACCTTGCCCTAGAAAAAAAAACAATTAAAAAAAACGACCAATAAAAAGCGTAAACCCAGTGCCTGAGGCTGCCTTCAAGACAACATCAGAAACAGCTACTCAAATCGATTAGATAATGATGAGATAACTCTATACAACAGAAAGTTAATGTTTAGCCAAGAAATATAACAAATAAATAGCTCCAACAGATATGATAGAGCTCAGAGGGGACAAGAAAGACAAGCTAACAGCATTAGAGTCATGTTAGATCAGACCTGCACGGAAACAGAACAGGTGGCTGTGGCTAAAGGTAACACACACACACACACACACACACACACACACACACACACACACACACACACACACACACACACACACACACACACACACACACACACACACACACACACACACACTTTAAACCAGTGTCAGAGAGGGCAAGCTCTTTATTTACTCTTTCATTTGACTGTTACTGGTAAACAGTGGTTACCCATCATTTGCTCTTGAACAAGAGCATGAAACATAACCTAATCTTAATGGTGCGTTTCTTAGTTTGATATATTTTTAGAAATATTCATCTTGAAAATGCAATTTCCTATTGTCAGAAAGACGGCCTTATCTCTTCCTCTGTTATTCTCCCTCTGGGTCTCTCCAGATGCTGTATGTGGGTACTGTGTGTGCACACACACTCCACACACACTGCCAACCAGCTGGCTCTCTGTGTGAGAGCCTGTTCAACGCTACAGAAAAATATACACAGTTACTGAGACCACACTGGGGTCACACACACAAACACACACTCCCAGAGGATTACACCAACACATGAGGCCTGTCTTATAAATATGAAACAGCTTTTGGACACCTGACCAGGAATAACTTACACACACACACACCCACACACAGACACAAACACACACACACACACACACATACACAGAGAAATCCCCTATCTAAGTCCAGTCCAGTGTCCAGAGAAACAGGAAGTGCAGAGGATGATTCACACATGAGTCAATGGCTGGACCCTGAGGTCCTACAGTCACCCTGAATAGCTTCTCATGCTCTCTCTATTTCCGTCTCTTTGTCATTCCCAGTCGAGTTCGTCCAATCACAGATCAGCACAACTTTTAGAATGAAGTTAGTGTCTCCCCAAATAAAGCTGCCATAGAAAGGGTAGAGATTGAATCCTGTTGATTACATATGTTTAAAAAGTGAACAGTATGCGTAATCTACATAGTATTAACTGGTTAAACAATTGGTTTGTATTGTA